AGATGGGGGCAGGGCCAGCTAGAGATGGTATTTGCCGGTTCTCCAAACTACTCAAAATTTCCGGTTCTCCAGAACCTGCTGAATTTCGCCCCCATCCCAGGGCTGGACCTTCCCAGAGCCCCCTTTCCCTCCGTGGCCCAGCCTGGAAAAGGGCCAGGGGATCCGCCTCCTCGTCCTCTGAATGAGGCTCCCCCAGAAGGGAAGTGGGGAGCCCAGACAGACGCTACCCAATGGGGGCTCTGTCCCTCACAAGGAAGAGCCTCTGCCTGTCTCTGGGCTTTCCCCTCTTCCTCCTCCAAGCCGGACCCTGCAGGGAGTGGGACTCTGCGCCAAACGGGGCTGGAAGCTCTGTTGTTTTTTTTTTTTGGGGGGGGGGGGAGGTTATGGTGCAGAGGTGGGTATTCAGCAGGTTCTGACCAGTTCAGGAGAACCGGAAGCAGGAATTTTGAGTAGTTTGGAGAACCGGCAAATACCATCTCTAGCTGGCCCTGCCCCCATCTATTCTCTGCCTCCCAAGTCCCAGCTGGTCAGGAGGGAATGGGGATTTTACTATATCCTTCCCCTGCCACGCCCACCAAGCCACGCCCACCAGTAGTAAAAAATAATAATCCCACCACTGGTACAGTGGCTCAGTGGTTAAAGACACAGAGCTTGTCAGCTGGAAAGCTGGCAGCCCAAGTTCCAGACCCCAGTGCTGCACTACCGGGTGAGCTCTTGTCCCAGAGCCTGTTCGCCTAGCAGTTCCAAATGTATAGGTATGGTAACAGTCTTCCATGTGCCTCGGCAAATACTCATGCTGGCCATACGACCATGGAAATTGCCATCGGACAATGCTGGCTCCCTCAGCTAAAAAATGGAGATGAGCACTGGCCCCTAGAGACAGAATCGAGTGGGCAGGGCAAACCTTTGGTGTGGAAGAGACATTAAGGAAAGAGGTAATGTACTGGTTTTCTTGCCTATGGAGATTCTGAGTCATCCAGTCAGAGCTGAAGAAACTTCTTGGATGAGAAGCGACACATCTTTAAAGAAAAACCAGAAAGCCCAATCGCCTCTTGAAAAAAACACCTTTGGGGCTACTGGTTTTCTTGTTAAAACTGGTGTTTTTCAATTAGTTTGAATTAACAAGAAGTGAAAATGCAGCAACAACACCACCACCACCACCACCAAATTGACCATTCTCGATCTGGTGCCTAATAATACATTGCCTGAGAATGGCTACCTGCCTAACCTGCATTCCCATTTTGCCCCCGTGGAGGTAATGCTCTCGCACACATCACGGACAACGGAAGGGTTTTTTTCTTCCTGGCATATTTACCAACAACTACATGTACAACACAGGATAATGCTGGTCCAAAAATATTCCAGAAAACATGGGGGAAATGAAAGAGAAGTCTTTGTGAAAGAGTTCATGCGGAGAGGTCACTATTATCAAATCTCTCCTGGTCATACACTTCGGCCACAACCTTCCTGCCCGCAAACCAGCGCCCATTCAGAGCCTGGATGGCTTTGTGAGTCTCTGAGGCCATGGAGAATTCCACAAAGATCTTGACAATGATCTCCGCGTCTTCTTCCTCGCCCTGCTTCTCTTGATAGATGATGACTCTGTTGACAGCCCCAAATTTGCCACACTCTTCTGTTACTTCTCCTTCCAAATCATCATCAATGTCCTTGGGATCCACCATGTTCCGCAAAACCATCACTGTTGACTGTGTGAAGAAAAAAGCCAGAAAATGTCACCTCCCAAGACTCCTCCTTCCAGCCAGCCTCGTTTCGCTCCCTCCATCACGGAGACGGAGGCCCCCCGCCCTTCTTCCATGACAGGCTCAGTCTGGAGGCTTCTCCCCAGCAGCCCTTCCATCAGCCCTGCTGAAGAACTCACCTCTTGTTTCCGGAGAAGCTTCTGCATCACCATGTGGCGGGCGCTGCTGCCAGAGATGCTCATGTGCTCCTGTTCACTCAGCATCTCTGGCCTTTCAGATTCTTGGAAAACCTCCTCCTCCTCCTTCTCCTTCTTGGCTTCTAGCAGGCCTAATGTTGGGGGACTGGCCAAGATGGGGTTCACCACACCCACCTGGGGAATAGTGACGGGAATAGGTGGGCGAGCCGGAGTGACCCCTGGAGGAAAAACACATTTTGAAGTAGGTGAAAAGAACTAGTCGCCCATATACCCTCATGCTCCACATCCAAAGCGAAACAGAATATCCAAGGCCTCTCAGACAAGGAGGGTAATCCCACCAGCTCAATACACACAATCAACCCGGATTTAAGAGAAATGGGCAATCCCTCGACTCACAACAACCTTAGCAACCAACTACAGGACAGTCGTATCAACAAGGAGTGAAAATCTCAGAAAGAACCTCAATAGCTCTCTCATCCATCCTTCTACTCCACAGAAGGGAAACAGAAAGACAAGCAGTCCTCGAGTTGCAACCGTAAGAGAGAGACTGCCTGCTACAGGCATAAGTTGCAAAGTGGATTGGTCACACTTTGCAGCAGTTATTAAAGTAATTTCTCATTGTGAGAAACGGTTTTGCTGGAAACCAGAAGTGGGAAAAGTTGGGCATAAATGTAGCTGTGTTGCTGAGCACCCAAAGGCCGACCACGTAATTGCTGGGGGGGGGGGGAGAATTACAGGGGTGGGAACAAGCATCAGAACTCAAGAGGACACCTATGGGGCTAGCCCAAGCAGAAGAGGAGACAGAAGCAGCCAGCGGGGAGGCCGGTCTCTACACACCAAGGTCTTCCAAGGTAAACATCCATGGGGCCAATCGTTTCTCCATGAGAAAGATTTGTAAAGCTAGAATTATTCAAATTGCTAAAAGAAAATTTGTCAGAGACTTTTGAAAGAGACCCACCTCCAAGGCTCTTGGGCCAAGAGCCCACCGGAGGATACCAAAGGTGTAAGTCAAAAGCCAGGAGAGAGGAGGGCCAGAGGTTTTACGGTTCCCCCAAGAGCGATGACCCCCTTCGGCCTCCTCCAAGCTAGGCTCCTCTTTCCCACCTGGCCAGGCAGGAGCCCCAAAAGGAGGTTCCCAAGCAGAGGGCCCTTCCGACTAAGAGGACCAACTGGCCCAAGGCCTGCCCCCCTCCTCCCTCCTCCCCCTCCCCAGTGCTCCCACCGCCAGGCTTTAAAGGCGCTCCTCACTCCCAATCCAGCAGGCTCCGTGGGGAAGGGCTACGGAGCTCTACCACCTAACCGAAAAATGCTGCGTGGGTGGGGGAGAAGAGCGCATTCTCGCTGGGGAGTGAAGTGCCATCACCGCCATCAACCCACCCGACCTGGGCGGCACCAACCGGCAGCCCTTCCTTTCGTTCCTAGGAAAGTTCCTCAAGGCTTCTTTCTTTCTTTGCTTATTATACTTGTATGCCTTTATTATTAGACTCCTTCCTCCAAGGAGGCCTTCGCCTTTCGCTTGGTTTCACACAGACACAACGGATGTGGTGGAGAAGACAGAGACGGCGGGGGTGACGACATCCTCGCAGGAAGGCACCGCGCACCCCCACACAGGGCGGCCCCCTCCCTTATCCCAGGCGGCAAGAGGCGGGTATTTCAGCCGCCAGGCCACTCACCCGTGATGACGCCAGGAGCTTGAGCTGCCATCACAGCCTGCGGTAAGGCCCCCAGGGGCTGCGCGAGGGTCAGGGCTGGGGTCACCAGTCCGGGAGTGGCCAATGTGCTAAGGACGGCAGCACCCGCCACGCCTGCCACGGCTTCCTACAGGAGAGAGAGGAGTCAGCTCTCAGACACGGCCTCTGCAGCTGCAGGGCTGCTTCTGTACCCCAAGGCCCAAGCGAGGAACCCCACAGCCCCAGGAGCCCCCCCCCAACCATCATCTTCTGTGGGCCCATTGGAGCGGAAGGGGCACCCCAGGCCAGTATTTGCCTTTGCTTGCCTGATAATCCTACCCAGCCCCAGAGACGTCAGCCGGGCTCAATCCGGCCCTGGCAGCAGAGGGAGGAGGGGGGGCCTGCAGAGCAGCTGCACACACTGAGCCACTGGCGCCCCCTCCTCTCTGCTGCAGAGGGTGGGAAGCCTGCCGGAGCTTGCAGGAGGAAAGGGATGCGGACGGGGGCCCCGCTTCTGCTGCTCAAGGGGAAGAGTAGGAAGGTCCATCCAGCCAGGGCAAGGACTCTCCAACTCCGCTCCCCAGAGGCCCTGCTCCTTACCTGAGCGGTGATTTTCGCCGTGGCGGCAGCCGCGGCTACAGCTGCTGCAGGGGGCAGGCCTCCCGGGGTGGCTGGAGTCAGCAGGGGCATGGGCGGGGTGACTGCTTTGCCCACGCGGAGGTACTGGCCCCCCAAGTCAAAGAGGTTCATGGAAGAGACGGCGTCCTGGGAGGACTGGGCCTTCTCGTACTCTGAGCGGGCAGAAAGAGCGATATGGAGCACTGGCCGCCGGCTCTGGGCCCTCAGCAGCAAGGCAGCCGGCCCCGGGGCTCACCGATGAAGCCGTAGCCCTTGTGCTTCCCCGTGGTGGGATCCCGGGCCAGCGTGCAGGACTTGATCTTCCCAAAGGCCTCAAAGACACTCTTGATGTCGTCGTCGGAAAGGTCCTGGTGCACCGATGCCACGTAAATGCGGTTGAAAGCTCGAGCCTCCTCTGCCAGCTGATCGATGATGGGCTGCGCTTGGCCAATGTTGCTGGGCCTCCCCACCTGCAGGAAGGTGACCCGTGAGGGCCTCTGGGCGCCCCCGGGCCCCCAGAGCACCAGCTTCTCAACCGCCTGTCAAGGTGGCACTCGGCCTAGTCAACATGCCCAGCTAAAACACCGGTGGGGGGGGGGGGGGGCCTCTAGCCTGTTTCTACAAGCCCATCCGACATTCTGCCAACTGTGGGTTAACGTGCTTCCCACATCCAGACTTATTCATTAGGCTGCATCCTGTCTTTCCTCTCGCTGTGGGATGGGTGGCATGAGAAGGGGGCAGTGGCCAGCGAGGTGAATCTGAAGCTCCTCGGTTGCAGCCCGGCCCCTACACCTCACTGACCCCGGCACGACAACCGATGAGGGAGTAGAGGGGCCTGGCCCGCTCTTACATTAAGCCAGTCACTGCCTTCGGTTCTGATTTGTTGTTCTCCCTGGGCAACCTGCATCATGGGAACGCAGGAAGTCCTCCTTGCCACAAAGCAAGTTGCAAACACCAGCCAGGCAGCCCAGCGGTTCACCCACCCACTATGGGGCGGAGGAGAGACCTTTGCAGCCCAGGGGCCCTGGGTGGGGTTGGGCAAAGCACTCGGCCTGCTTCTAAATAAGGCCCTGCTGACCCCTTAGCCCTGCTGGAGGGACGGGAGGAGCCGGGGCAGGCAGGCAGGGGGCAGGCGGCCCAGCTCCCCCCCCCTTTTACAGGACGGAAAGACTGGCGTGTGGCCCACAGGTCTCCCTCCACGTACCTTGATGTTCCGCCCTCCAAGCATCACGGAGTTCATCTGCTCCAGGGCCAGCTGAGCAGCTTCCGGGACCTCATATTCCACAAAGGCAAAGCCCTGCCCAAGGAGGAAAGGGGGCATGAAGCTCAAGCACTCCCCCCCCCCGTGCACCCCTTCTTCCCCCTCCCTGCCAGCCCTCCCGCTCACCTTGTGCTTCATGGTCACGGAGTCCCAGGACATGTCGATGCTCTTGATGGGCCCAAAGGGGGCGAAGGCCTGCCGAATGGTGTCCTCTCCCAGCTCATAGTAAATGGAGCCCACGTAGACGCGGCACATGATGGCCAGGGCCCGCTGCCGCTGCGCTGCCATCTGTATCGGAGAGAAGGTCTGGCCGGTCAGCGCAGGAGGGAAGCCCGGCAGCTCTCCCGTGCCCCCCCCTCCCCAGGAGGCTCCAGGGTGGCGAGGGGGAGCCTCCCCGAGGAGGAACTAGCCCAGTCCACCACCCTCTCCCTCTGCCGCCCCAAAGGGTCCTTCTTCCCCACCATTCTGGCCCCACACAGCAAGAGATCCAGACCGGGCACCTCGTCTCTGTCTTCCCCTGAAACCTCTCCCACCCCAGGACGCTGCCTCTTCCTCTCGGCAGGCGCCTTTGGGAGCAAACGACCGCCACGGGGCCACCAGCCTTCTCCTCCCAGGGCCAGGCCGGCTGGTGCCAGGGACCCTCTGACACTGTCCCAAGAAGGTGCAGTGGCAGAAGGCCCGCGATGACCCATCTCCTCCTCTGCCAAAAGTCTAGCCAGCCTACAATCCAGATTCACCGCTATGGTTCAGTGGCCGGGCAGCAGCTCCCCTGCCTGGCAGCACAGCCAGGCCCAGGACCAGCCGCTGGAGGGCTTCTCTGGAGCTGGGAAAAAGGACAGGGCTACTCCTGTTCTCCTGAGAGGCCCACCCAGCCGGGGATTCTGGCCACTTGTACATCAGAGCCAAGAGCACCTTGGGGGCTTCGCAGCAGTCCCCCGGCCCTTCTCACCAGGGTGGGGTGGAGAGACACCTACAAGACTAGGAAACCTCTGTCCCCCCTGCTCCCTCTCTGGGGCCACCCGGCCCCTCCCCAACCCTGGGGAGAGCTGCTGCTGCCTTGGGCGGATGCCAGGCAAGGCCCCCAAGCTCAGCCTCCCTTCCAAACACTTCTGGGGGAGGGGGGTGTCTCGCTGCTCCCCAAGAGAGACGAGGGACCCCCTGCAGGAAGAGGCTCTCTGCTGCACATCAGGACAGCCAGCGCCACTGGACAAACTCAACGAAGGGCACGCACTCCCAGCGTTCAGGAGCCAGCAGAGCAAAGAGTTAGGGAGAGGGGAGATGGGCATCTACAACGAAGCCCATGGGGGCTGCCCGGCTATTTGGCCTATCTGCTTCCCCGCCCCCCAGCCCTGACCCCAGCAAGCTGGCCGCCCCTCTAGCACCCCAGAACCAGATCCAGGCTGAGCGGCTGTTCTGAGGCGGGCAACCCGCCACGCTTCTCTTCCACTTGCCCCACAGAAACTAAGCTAAGCCTGTCCTTCTGGTGCCGGGAGAGCCCCGGGGAGCCGGGTGGCCTAACTGCCGGCTGCCCCGATGAGCCGGCCTCTTCAACAGCTCCATCCAAGGGGATCGATGCACAGCAGGAGCCGGGGCCCTGTGCAAGATCCACCAGCACATTAAGGGGGACCCCTGGCTCCTGCCTGGGTGTGCTACCCTGCTAGCACTCGGGTGGAAGGGCGGGGGCCCTCTCTGCCCAGGAGAGGGCGGGGCCTGCTCCTGCTGGCTCCAAAGGTGAGGGGCCTGTGCCCTGGCAGGCAGGCTCCGCGGCAGCAGCCACCCCCCCCTCTCTGCCCCAGCGCCAGCTAGCAGCCCCTCTTCCTAGCACCCTTCCACTCGTCTAGGAGAGCCGGCTGAGCCCCAGCCCCCGGCCACCAGCCTCTAGCATCCCGCGCTGGCCCCCTGGCAAGTTACCTTGGCAGCTACTTTGAGGCCAGGACCTCAGCATCCCTAGAAAGGCAGTTCTGCTGCTGCTCGAGACTAACGCTTCCTGTCTCTCTCTCTCTTTCTCTCTCTCTCTCTCTCTCTGCCCAGAGCCTCCGGGGGTCCCAGCTG